TAGAAGCAGCTCTTGTCACCATCATGCCATCTCCCATTTCTGCACCTGAAACGGGGGTTAGAAACCGACTGCAATAAAACCTAACAAGAACTAAAACAAAAAGGGGGGGAATTTATTCCTTTTGCTTTCTGCATTAAGGAGGGGATCCTGCCCCTCTGCTCTGCTCTTGTGAGACCCCACTCACAGCACTGGGTGCAGTTCTGGTGTCCTCAACATAAAAAGGACATGGAGCTGTTGGAACAAGTCCAGAGGAGGCCATGAGGATGATCAGGGGCTGGAGCAGCTCCTGTATGGAGCCAGGCTGAGAAAGTTGGGGCTGTTCAGCCTGGAGAAGAGAAGGCTGCGTGGAGACCTCAGAGCAGCTTCCAGTGTCTGAAGGGGGCCTATAGGGATGCTGGGGATGGACTCTTCATTAGGGACTGTAGTGATAGGACAAGGGGTAATGGGTTAAAACTGAAAGAGGGGCAGTTTATATTGGATATAAGGAGGAAATTCTTTCCTGTTAGGGTGCTGAGGCACTGGAATGGGTTGCCCAGGGAGGTTGTGAATGCTCCATCCCTGGCAGTGTTCAAGGCCAGGTTGGACAGAGCCTTGGGTGACCTGGTTTAGTGTGAGGTGTCCCTGCCCATGGCAGGGGGGTGGAACTGGATGATCTCAAGGTCCTTTCCAACCCTATTCTATGATTCTATGATTGAGCTCATTCCCCAGCTGGACCATCGCCATGCAGAAGGTACAACAGGATGAGCGATGGGGACAGGGAACCATCAGCCACAGCAAGGAGGAAGCGGCTGCTTTCTGCTGCACAAACAAAACCCTTCCCTGTGCTAAGCCTGCCCCAGTTTGGAGCCCTTTATTTTGCACTGGAGACCTGAGAGCCTTCTCTAAAGTGAAACCCCTGCTTGGCTGCCCATTAGCTCGCACAGGTCCCTGCACTGCCATTACCACCGCATCCCCAGGCCCATCACTGACTTGGAATCAACACAACCACAAAGTCTCAGCTGAAGAAACGACTTGGTTGACAGCAGCAGGAAGACACAAACCTGTCCATGGGTTTAATGCTATTAATAGCCTTTAAACAGCCAGGCTGAGCCTTGGGGAAGGCCCACAGGAAGGCGAGAGGCGAGTTCCAGGTCCTTGTGGTTCCTGAGAGCTTCCTGTCCTGTCAGCACAGGCTTCCTCTGCTCCGGGGAGGGATGGAGTCCAAGGCAAAGTCCTTTCACTCACCCTCCTCAGCATCACCCAAGGGGAGGGGGGGCTGAGCAGCCCTAATGCTGATGGATGGTGCTCCAGAAGCTGAACCGCTGCGAGTCCCGAGCCAAACCAGTCCTGAGGCCTCAGGGATACCGGTGGTACCCCAGTGAGGATGTGCAGCTATTGCTCCAGTGACTTCCGACCGCTGCTTTCCAAAGGAAGCCAGATCCAGCGGGGTGAGGAGCAGCCCTGCACCCCCAGAGACCATCCACTGCACGTACTAACCCTGATCATTCCCCACCTGCCTCTTCACAGCCGCCCCTCAGATGGAGCCACAGCACTCGGAGCATGGCTGCCTGTGGGATGACACTCACTGGGAGCCGGGGGGAGCTGGTGAAAGCTGAATGAGAGCATCCCAGTGGGAGGGAGCCCCGTGATCCCGCTGTTCTCATGGCCCAGCAGGAAAACACTCCCATTGCCTTGTTCTTCATCAGCGAACCTCTGCAAATCAGCCCCTTGCCAATTAGGGGCCCCCAGGTGGCTTTAGGAACCTGGGGCTGGTGAATGGCACGGGCAGGGGTCTCGGCAGTGTGTGGAGCACATGCTTGTGGAAGCCCATCCTCTCGAGGTGCTGGGGAAACGCTCTGTTAATCACTGCAGGTCATTTGGGAGCTTGGATGGTTTCCTTCGCCCCGGCTGATGGATGGGAAAGCCAAGGCACAAATGAGGCAGCGCGTTCCCCAAGGCAGCAGAGCGTGCTGGTGCCAGAGCCAGAGCCAGGGCCACTGCTTCTGCCTCCCAGGTTCTTGCTCTATTATAGGAACCAGCCAACTGGTTCCAATAACAAATCCAAGCCGCTGCAAAGAGCAAGGCCATTTTTTCACTGCTTAACCCAAAACCCCATGGAATTTTCCAAACTCAGGTCTGGCTTCTCACCAGAGCAAGGATTTGGTTTGCATTATTCATCTGGTTTCAGGGTTCTTTTATCTCTCTTTTGAAAAGCCAACCATTCAATCACTCTGTTCAATACAGAGTTCCTAGGCTGGGAGCACTGCAACGATCATTACCCTGTAAATGTTCATTATTCTTACTATAAATACACTTCTGTATTCCTCATTCTGTGACTTTTATGACTAAATACGGCACCTTCAGCAAAGCTCAGACTGCTTTCCAAACATTAAGCACTTTGAATCAAATCCTGCAGCCCTTATTCCTGAGAAGCAATGCTTTATACAAACCGTAATGCTCCTTCAGACGTGTCCAAAGCAGGAACATCAACCCATGGCTCTTCAACATGACTTTTAATGCTGCCAGGCTATAGCGGTAAAGATAAAACCACGTTTACTTAGACACAGTCAGACCTTTATAATGGTACCTTACGTGAGCTACTCCTCTATGGGAATCATGGGATGGTTGGAGTTGAAGGGAACTTAAAGCTCCTCCAGCTCCAACCCCTGCCATGGGCAGGGACCCCTTCCACTGGAGCAGCTTGCTCCAAGCCCCTGTGTCCAACCTGGCCTTGAACACTGCCAGGGATGGGGCAGCCACAGCTTCTCTGGGCACCCTGTGCCAGCACCTCAGCACCCTCACAGGGAAGAGCTTCTGCCTAAGAGCTCAGCTCAGTCTCCCCTCGGGCAGGTTCAAGCCATTCCCCTTGGCCTGTCCCTACAGGCCCTTGTCCCAAGCCCCTCTCCAGGTTCCTTGTAGCCCCTTACTTGTATTATTAACCTGTGCCCACTCCTTAAGCATCAGGTTGTGAAGAAGCTTCACGGTAACAGGTCCTTCTCGCACATACAGTAACCACTGCTGGGCTAAAAAGAAGACACATGCACAAAGGAACAACATGGCCTTAGAAGCAGCAGGATGTTAGTTCTAGCTTGGCTTCTTTATTTGCTTTCCTGGTGAGGAAACACGGATTCTGTGGAGGCTGAAGATGCTCAGACGAGTAGAAAGAAGTGGGAATGGATGTATCACAGAGTTTGAGCAAAGGGTGGTCTGCTGAAAGGAGAAGCAACCATTAAACTGTTTCTCATTCTGTGTTTGGCCCAACAGAGGAATTCACATTGTGGAGAAATGATGCTTTTGTGGAAGAACTAAATCCCCCAGACTCTTCACACCGTGTCCAAGAACCAGGAACTCACTATAAGTAGAACAATAGCATGGTTAAAATGACTGAATCCATCTCTAATCCCTGCTCCCCCTGTGGAACTGTGTCTGATACATCCAATATCAACTCAGCTGGTCAAACTTCTCCATGAAGGGCTATAGACGCTGTGAGGCTGGAGCATCCCTGCCACCTACAGTTCATAGAGCATCAGAGCAACACCACTGATGTCCTGAAGCCGAGAGGAAGCTCGCATCCCTGGCAGTGCTCAAGGCCAGGTTGGACATAGGGGCTTGGAGCAAGCTGCTCCAGTGGAAGGGGTCCCTGTCAATGGCAAGGGTTGGAGCTGGATGAGCTTTAAGGTCCCTTCCAACCCAAACCATGCCATGATTTTATGTGCACACTGCTCTTTGCCCTCTCCCTTCCCCAAAATACAACTTAGACACGAGATTTCTTTCCACTTCACAGATGCCTTTACAACAAGCAGGAATTCACACAATCAAACCAGATATAAAACAGGTTTATTCCTGTCCTGGTAGATTCAAAGGGCAGTGGGTTCCTCCAGGCCAGCCCCGGTTGAAAGTGTCTCCCCTCTCACCCCATGGAAGCAATAAGGTTGGTTACTCCAAGGATGGTAAAGCTACAAGATTTAACCTATTTTTTTCCCCCTAATAAGAGATATTCACTGATTTTTTACTGCATCCAACATCACAGCATCCTCTTCCTGCCAGCCCACCGCACCAGTGCTGCACACACAGCACCAACACTGGGATGTGCCACATCAAGGTACTGGAGAAGGTTGTGATTGTTTGAAGAGGGTTATTGCTGAGGCAAACGGCACAACTTTGGGATGGTTTGTAATGTGCTGAAGATGTTTGCTATAGGATTAACTGTAATCTGGTTGGTCAAGGCTCCAAAATCATCTCATGCCAGCTCCTGAACTTATTAGCTCTGCAGTAGCTGTTTGTATGGACTGTTCATTCCTGCTGCTCAGCAAGACAAGTAAAAGGGTTGAACATGGGGAAAAAAGCCTGAGTGCTTCTGGTTATGTCTGCACAGCTGAAATGAGAACAAAGCCAAACTGAGCTACACAACACGCTGGGGAGCTTCTATAGAGAAGAAAGGGGTCTTGCAGTAAATACACACATGCACACACACAGATTGTCACCTCTTGCTGGCACACAGGCCACCTCCCCCCTGGCAGCAATGTGATGCACATGAACGACCACTGGGTGCATTCTGCTCTCTGCTCAGCCCTCCTTTGAAACAAAACCCAACCAGGATGAAGCCAAACCCTTGGTATCCATGGAAATGCAAGGTAACTCTTCACTTCATAGGGCCGAACTTTCCTGCAGGCCCTGGCACCTCATGGGAATCAAATCACATCACATCACAAACTTCCGATTTGTTTCCTCATCACTTTCCAGTCAACCAGAATTAATTTTGTTTCAGAAGTTTCTTCCAATTTGCTTAAAACAGTTTCCCCTCTGCTCTGGAGCATCCGGATGCTCCAAGAAAATACTCAAAACAGAGACACTATTACAAAAGGTCCTGTATTCTGACCTGGCAGTTTAAAGTTCCCACCCAATGGGAGCCATTATGACTTTCTGTTCTCCTCTTCCCTGCGTGATCCACAGGGAATGCATCACTGAGGACAAGCAACACATGAGAACACTCGGACCCTTGGAAAACAGGCACAAAGCAATGGCTTCAAAAGATGTTTATTAGGAAAACTGGACATTACAAGAGGAGTGGATAGGAAACAAGTTATACAAAGCACGTGTAGGTTCTAGTACACTGCAGAGAACAAGAGAGAAGACTTCAAATACACGTAACACACCCACCTGGAACTGCTAACATGGGTATGTCACTGCCTGGACCACTTGCCATGAGAGGCAGATGCAGGGGTTCTTCTCGAGGACAGCTCATCCCTGCTGTGTTGAGCTGCAAAAGCACAGATGTAATGGCCATTAAAACAAGACTCATGTTCAGGAATTCCTACATCATTCTTCCAAGCTGTGCCATTAAGATACTGTATATCCTAAGATTTTATTTGCTTTAATTCAAGGTAAGCTAGATTTCAGGTTTTACACTACTTTTTCTTCATGAACAATAAAACTCTGCTGCCTACACGCAGTTCTACCTAGCAAAGCATAATTGAGACTATCTGCTTGGTTACCTAAGGAAGCAATCCAGACTTACCTGTTGAAACAAGATCCACAGGCAAGGCCTTCATAACCAAAACCAGAGAATAAAGAGAGTAATTTCAGAAGAGATGTGACCTAAACTTTACCAGAAACAGGAATTCCTGTCTTTAAAGCACAGCTGATAACAACCAGCAGTGTGTCCCCCCCCCATACAGCAGAGAGCATCACTCAGCTGAACTCACAGCAAACAGATGAGCACAAGCAACTCAATGGTTTCTAGCAACAAGCACTACACAGACACTGATTCTCAATGAAGACAATGAGGTACCAGCTCCCTGAACAGACGGGTGACTTTCAGCTGGGTCTGCAACTCAAAGGACAGAAAGAAACAACACTTCAGGAAGGGTTAAAAATCTAAGTCTCAAATTGGTCTCTTTGCCTCTCCGATGCTAAAACCATAGCCCCCAGGAATGGTCAGGGTTGGAAAGGCCCCGTTTCTTGACATTTTGTTATGGCTTCAGCAGGCACTTTAGATCAATTCAACATCTGTCCATAAAACTTGAGGGATTACATGAGAAAGAACCAGAGCAGATGAACTACTGAGGGCTTGGTTCGCATACCCCCACCTTCCCAGAGGTAAAACACCCAAGCTCTTACCTTCTCTGCTGCAGCACAGCTCTTGCAGAGGCTATAAATAAAGACAAACATTTCTATGAACACCGAAATTAATACACTGACACCAGAGGAAACACAGCACCCAAGCCTTACCCAGGTACCTTAGACCACCGGGACCTGATACAAGTACCTGCTGTCACGAGTTCACATTGCAATCCATGAGCCCATCACGGTGTCTCTCCTTCCACCACCTACAACCAGATGAGAGTAGAAATAATTACACTTCAAACAGCAAAATGTTATTGTAACAGAGCACAGGTCCTCTAATCCTACACCAAGGAAAAGAGGAAGCTGGCATTGAGCAGATAATGACGATTATAACAAAGCTGCAAATGAGATCTCTATTATAAATAATGCCACTAAAATAGACTGCACCACCTCAGGGAAGGCTCTGCTGCCCTCTTCAGTAATGTGGTGAGGAACTGAACGGAGACTGCTGCTTAGTCATATTAATATGAACATAGCTGATCAACTGCCACATACACAGGGGGGTTAAATGAACTGAAATTAGCCCGAGAAGGTATTCCACTGTCCTCCCGCCTCTGCAAGTGTAAAGCCAAAGGTAAGTGGAATGAAGCAAGTCATCTGTTTTACATGCCATCAAACAGCCTGAATTGCCTATGTACACTTGGATCCTGATGAGTTCTTCCAAACCATGACTCTTTGCATCTGTCCAACTGCCTGTAAACTAGAGCTTAGGCCTAAACCTGGAGCGTGACAGTGAGTTACCCGAGTTACAGCTTCAGCTCCCTAACAGAAATGACACACTGCCAGAGCTGATTGAAGCTATTTTGACACTTAAGTCTTTGACTACCACTTGGTCTGAGGCTTTAGTAAGGGTGAGTAGTAAGTATCCATTAGAAATCAGGCTTTCTTCTTTGAACTCTGCTTCTCCTACCACATGTTGGGAGCTTCTTTTAAGCATTCAGAGTAAAAAGAAATCCCAACTACTCCAGAGCAGATCACTGTTTTTCCCATTAAGGAGAGAGAAACTGTTCAGTCAAAGATGGATCAACCTGAACATCCTGCAGATGAAACAAAATGCAAGTCACTTCTCTAATGCCTACACAGGCTGTTGTGCAGCAGCGACATTAACTGCCATTTACTTACTCTTTATTTAAAGACAAATCCACTAACAGGCAAGGACTGAAAATCCTAAATGAGTCTGATGCACTCAGATGAATGACAACCAACCAGGCTGCAAGATCTCTCGCTGCCTACGCAAGTCTAAGTGATGATACCTGTCAAGGTACCGTCAGCAAGGCGCTATCACAGGACGCAGTGCTCTACCACGCTCCCCCAAGAGCATCTTCTAACACTAATGGCCAAAAGCAGTGAATAGAAACCAACCACCAATTCTGGAGAAACTACAAATCTAAGGATTCAAGAGGCACCCGACAGCTGGGATCATAACCACTGCTCTAAAACAGGGCAAGTCGTATCTCGAACCTAAAGAGGTCAAGAGCCTCCTGTCAAGCCAGGCTGGTGATCCAGCACAGGCCAGAACCTGGACACCAAGGGATGTAGAAGAAAAGCACTCACCTCAAATGGACCTGAGCAGCAAATTAACTGTTCCAACAAGGAAAGATGGTTCGTGGGTTTCTGCCATCATATTTTAGGTATAAAGCTCGAAAGCTCACTCAAAGCAAGCTGAACTCTGGACCCAGCTCATCTCTTGGGTCTCAAGAGGACAATCAAAAAGGACCTGGACAACAGAGCAAAGCCCCAGAGCCAATAAAGTCTTCCTGCTACCTCTTGTTCTGGAATATGGAAGTTCTCCTGACTTGGCACCCAGCAGTGCTAGGAAGACAGCACTGCAGAGGTGGGATGACCTCAACAGAATGGGAAGGTGTTTGTAGTCCATGAAGCAGCATCGCCTCAAACAGCAACACTTTAAACGTTACCTACTGCTGCCACACCTCAGACATCAACCAAGGCTCTAAGCAATGTCTGGAGGTTCTGCCAGTACCCATGGACAAGAAGAACCCACCAAAGGGAATGAGAGGACTGGGAAGGTTTTACTCATTTGTAAACCTAAGATGGGTGGGAGGTTGAGAGACCTGTGAGAAGGGGAAAGGGCCTGAGCCCAAAGGGGGAAGGGTCACAAAGAGGAAGCACAAAAAGCTGCAAGCAAAGTTATACCCTGCTGTTGTTTGTGTTTGGTAAGATCAGGAACTTCCCTCTCACCAGGCTCTTGAGAGAAACCGGGCAGAACACTTCTGTACACGTTTGTGAACAGGAGAAGAGGTGAAGCCACCTGAGGACCAGGCTTCTGCAGCCAAGCACAGGATGAGTCTGGCCCTGCTGCTTTCTGAGTGACATCTGCTCTGCACACAGCCTGGACCCTGCTGTGAACACCCTGCTGTGATACTGCTCTGGCAGACCCGAAACATGGGAACCCAGCACAGCCACCTCCCGTCAGGAGGGTCAATGGCTCCATGCTGGGCTCCTCAGGGGCCCCACTGCATCCACAGCAAACAGCTTTATTGGCTGGGGAGGTGGTGGGGTGCGGGTTCTGGTTGGTGTTAAGAACACGCTAACACCTCTCATCAGTAATACTGGCAAAACAGCAGCAGAAGAAAGAAGCTAGAAAAGCCCAACTTTTAACACTGCAAGGGACACAGAGGCTGGCAAAGCAAAGCTGCACCAGTGTCTTACCAACCTTCAGCTCCCAAAAGTCTGTCCTTCTCTATCCAGAAGACGCAGTGCTGTTCAGTTCTCCATGCCAGTCAATACCAGAACTGTTCAGTTCTCCTTCTCTCAATTCAAATCACATGCTAAAAAATCAGGCACTTAGCTCCATGTCAAGAATACAATTGATTTTCATCCTGCTCTTTCTTAGCATATGGGATTACCAAGTCACAAATATTCCATGTGAGCCTTGCAAAGCTGCAGGCATCTCAGAAGACACCACGATCACCAAGTGTTGGAATCATAGGGTAGGCTGGGTCGGAAGAGAACTTCAAAGCTCATCCAGTCCAACCCCCTGCAATGCGCAGGGACCTCTTCAACTACATCAGGTTGCTCAGAACCACATCCAGCCTGGCCCTGAATGTCTCCAGGGATGGGGCATCCACCACCTCTCTGGGCAACCTGTGCCAGTGTTTTACCACCCTCATTGTAATGATTCGGGTGACACCCAAAAAGGGTTTTTCAAATACAATGGGCAGTCACACAAATCCTTCTCTATCTCCTCTCCACTAAAAGCTTCCTGAACATTTCAATTGACAAGTACAGAAAGCCAGGAAGAAGTGAAGCATCATTCACTCCCTTCTGTAAAACATACACCAGGAGAATCAGTTCTAAACTGGGAGGTAAATATGAGTCAAGCCTTCTGACAGTGCTGGCTGGATGCACGGGGAATGCAGGAGGCTGAGAGGAGCAGAGTCTAAGTCCAGGAAACCTAGAAAACACCTAAAAAAGGGAAATACTGAAACAATACAATAATAACTATTGATAAGAAGCTGGAGAGTGCTGCTATCCTCTGTCCCGTTCCTCTGTCAGTTCATTTTTCTACCCTTCTCTTTTCTTCCCTAGTGTGGGTTGCAAAAGGGACACTGAAGAGCCATCTACTGGAATGCCGAAATTCCTTCAATCAGGATACAATTGAAATCCATGTGCAAAACTGGAAGCAGCAAAGAGAAATACTTCAAAACGAAGGTTTGCCTGAGCCATTCCAATTCAAAAAGCACTGGGCTGCAGTTAAGCTAGGTTTAAGTACTGAAGTACAGCTTGGTTATTACTCTAACAGGTTTAAGAAGACACCCAACATAAGAAACCACATGATGGGTTACCTGTGCTCTAGCAATCCCTTTCCCCTCATTTACTCTTCTGCAAAACATCAGTTGACAGATGCATCAGGAGGTGAAGAGCAGCTCTGCCCTGCAGCCCCAACCCACGGCATCGCCACAGGCTGGGATTCACCCACATGGAAACCTTTACTGGGCAAGATTCTGATCAACTGAAGAGCACAGCTATGCAAAAAAAAAGCAATCCACTGGGTACTGAGACACAGCTTTAGTGTCTAAGATAGTGCCTATAATAAAGCAAAAGTTTCTTGAGAGTTACTCACAGTTCACTTCATGCCAGACAAGTGCAGCAGGAGGAAGAAAGCGTCACAACAGGAGTGGCAAGATCCCATCCTGCTCTCCATCGGGAGGTCTCCTGATGCTCCCCAGCCACGGCTCTCTGAAGCACGCCAAACACACTCTCCAGCTCCCCATAATGTGGAGCTGGAAGCTATGGACAATAAGCCAGAAGGGCTGGATGCTGTTCTCATTGTTTTGTATATTGAAGTATTACTGCCACTTCCTAAGTAATGAGAAGAGTCTCCCACTGCCAGTGAGAAATGAGGGAACTCGTGCTTTTCCACTCAAACGTATTTATTCCACCCAGCAAAAAGAAGTTATCTGCCTCTGAAACAAACTACATTCTATTCCAGTAATGAAGGAGATGAAACAAACTACATTCTACTCCACTAATGAAGGAGATGACCGATTGTACTGGTCTGATGTACAACTGCCTTTCTCCCCCTGCTTCTCCAAAGCTTAGCCTTTCTGTAGAAGTACTGAGTAGAATGCTTCCCTCCCTAATTCACCTCAACTCCTGTCTCTCATGCAAACAGCACTGAAAACAGCCTAGCTCAGCAGAAAACCTTTATGCTCACAAGGTCCCACTTGCTGACACTCTTTCAGTTGTACTTGCCAGTGCAAACCAGACAAGCCTACAAAACCCAGCAGCTTTCCTTAGTCTGTTAAAAACCTCTGCCCTGCAGGAAGAGCCTTACTGGAAAGCGAGGTCATCATACCCCAATCCCAAGCACACAATTATATGGCTTTTATACCATCAGAGAAGAGAAAACACTGAAGTAGTGTAAAAAATAACTGAAAATGAGTCAAGTGAAAGGAATCATCATTCTAAGTGTTGCCTCTGAGAAGGATGGTGACTCCCACTGCAAAACTGGACCTAGACCCTCCATGCCAGACTCTGAGCTTTGTGCTGTAAAAGAAGAACACTGATTTTTAATGTAACTGGACTTAAACCCTCCATGCCAGACTCTGAGCTTTGTGCTGTAACAGAAGAGCACTGATTTTTAAAGTATTTCCTAAATTCAAACTTAATTTTTAAATCTATTTACTGTTTCTTGGTTGAAGGAGTGGTGGAGCTCACCCCAGCAACAAGGAGCTGGACAACCGCACTGCTGCTCTTCTATGTGTGTTAACACACCGCCATTCCCACACTACACAGATCTTACACTAGAAAGATCACTTTGCACTACTCATGTACTTGCATGTTTCTGTCTCATTTCAGCAACTTCCAGTGATGCATCCACACATTTGATGTTCTTGAGTTGCTTCTATTTTAAACCTCAGCTCAGTTGCTACAGCATTTTTGAAGCTACTTCCAATGAAAGAGAGATGACCTACATTCGTGGAGCTGCCTCTCACACCTGAGCAGGCTCCTGCAATGTGGAAGGTACAGTCTTCCCTGCACAGATCCTACTTTGGCCCAGTGAAACAGACTTAATGGATGACCTTTAGATTTCACACGCTACACTGCACATCCCTATGAACACGCAGTTGAAGACATCTATTTGACATGAGAGACAAGGCTGAAGTACAGAAGTAAGTCAAGCAACAAATGAAAGGAGAGAAGAAAAAGCATGTTTATTTTCTATCAGCTGCCATTAGAGAAATCACAACGGAGGAAACACACTGGAAAATATTTAATGGGTACACGGAACATGAAAATGCATGTGTAATGCTTCACAGGCATGAGGAATAATGAAGTTTTATTTGCATAAAATGGGCAAATTAAATGCAAAGTTAGCTAATAAGCACATGCTGACACCC